ACGGCCCCTTCGCCCCTTCAAACCCTCCCGGGCACTGGAGGGCGTGGTGGGAAACACAGACGCTGAGCCTTTGTCCTGGGAGCTCGGGACGCCAGCAGCTTGCGCGGTGCCCGTTCCAGGCGTTTCCCTTGGCAGCTGCGTCCCCAGGAAGGTTCTGGGGGAACCAACGGGCCTGGGTACCTGCCGATGCGGCAGCAGGCCGGCAAGCGGGCTCTGGACTCCCCAGTGCCGTCCTGCAGGGGAACCTTAAAAGCTCCCTGCTCCCTTGACCTATGAACCAGGAGGTCACGGTTCCATTCCCGGTCAGGGCACATGCCCAGGTGGTGGGCTCCATCCCCAGTCGGGGGTGTGCAGGAAGTAGCCGATCAATGATTCTATCTCATCACGGATGTTTCTATCTCTCTCCATCTCCCTTCCACTAGGAAATCAATAAAAATATATTTTTTAAATACAGAAGCTCCCTGCTCCCCTTGCTTACCCAGGAGGCAAGGAGTCTCCGGAACCAGAATTCCCGCTCCCCCCAACCGCCCCAGCATGGAAACTGCAGGACAGCCCGCCAGCGTCTGCTCTCGGCGCCCCAGATGAGCAGACACACCCACGGCTCGGGGGTCGGGTCCATTCCCACGTATTCCACTTAAGACACTCAAATGAGCAATACCCTTTGGCAACGCAAACACATTCCTACTAGCTGAGCAGGCAGGACCGGAGGTTATATGCCCCAGTGGCCTTGTTCTGAGCTATAAGAGGAGGGTCTAGATTTCAAAGGCGCTGAGACAGAACTGCCCCTGGTGGGCCCTCGCTCCTCCTCCTGTTCCTCCTGCGAGGAGCTGACATTTCCTGGAGTCCTGCCTGAGCCGACTTCAAAGAGTCCGAAGTCAAGCCACCGGGGCTTCGGCGTTTTTCAAAAGGGCAGACGCTCCCTGGCACCTCGCACAAGGCCTGGGACGTCATGGATTTTTCAATAACTATTTGTTGACTAAGTGAATATACAGAAAGAACTCAGTAGGGAAGCAGGGTCCCTTGATAAATTACATAAAAGCCGAATCACAATGCTGTACACCTGAAACAAATATTGCATGTCAACTATAATTGAAATATTAAAAAAAATAAATTTAGTCCCGCTGGCGTGGCTCTGTGGTTGAGCATCGACCCGTGCACCCAGGGGTCGCTGGTTCAATTCCCAGTCAGGGCACGTGCCCAGGTTGCGGCCTCGATCCCCAGTGGTGGTGGTGGGGGGGGGGTGTGTGTGCATGAGGTAGTCAATAGATGTTTCTATCTCATCATTGATGTTTCTCTCTCTGTCCCTCTCCTTTCCTCTCTCTATAAAAAAAATCAATAAGAACATATTTTTTTAAAAAATGATAAAAATAAATTTAAAAAACAAAGAAAAACAGGATAATCTTTCATCAGTAAGTACTTTTTTCCTTCAAAAGCTACACCTTGAAACTCTTGGGTAGACTCCCAGGGAATGGTACCCGGTGCCCAGGCAGGGCCGCCCCCTCTGAAGCCGACCTGGTTCTGAACCGCCAGCTCTAGGGGACGGGGGACCCCGGCTTGTGCATGGCTGCGCATGGCGCCCTGATGAGACACGTCTCTACCGGATGAGATCACTGAGAAACTGCTACGGATCTAAAACACTGTTTTCAAGTAGTACAACGTGTTTCCCCGACGGCAGGCAGATGCATTCAGCGAGGTATGGAGCACACTCCATTTCAGTAACTTGGAAGTTATTTAAATAACTCGGAAGGCCCGCACGCTTGCCAAACCACTGGGCGTGTGGCTGCTTCTATAATTTGGCGGCAATCTGCATCTGGGTCATGGGGGCCGGAAGCTGGGAAACATGGACGAGATGTCACCTACCTACACAGACAGAGCCCCGGGGACCCCTCAGGCGTGGGGACAGTGTGCGTGTGCCACCCCTGCCACCTCAGCGGTGCCTGTCAGGCGGCTGCCGGGTCAGACGTGCCCTCTGAGGCCCAGAAACCGAGCGAAGTGAATGGCTCCCGTGGGAAGCTTAGCGGACACGACGCCAGCCTGGCCTCAGCGCTCTGTGGGCCCGTGACCAGGCCTTCCGATGACGCCCGTGGAGAACGCGTCGGTCAAGCAAGCGAAGACCCCTCTGCCTTCGCTGAGCAGAACGTGCTTATGGAAACAGTGGCGCCGGCCATGTGGATGGTTTGGGGCCACGTTTAGAAATGGGTCGCATGAATTTCACGTCATTAGCAGAAAGGCGGCCTTGAGCATGGGTCCACTTAGGGACAACGAAAAGCCAGAGTTCGGCCAAATGCTGGGGAGCTGGGAATTCCTTTTTAAAAATAACACTATAGGGATGGGAACGTGATGATTGGGTTTGAGTTCAGGAACTGAGTTGGTTTCCTGAAAAGAGGCGGTTTTCTTTGAGCGGGGGTATAGGTATAGCCAGAAGAGCCAATTCCTGCTGTATTTTCTCCAGTACGATGTTTAGAATGAAACAGGTGGTGTCTCCCAGGCATGGCCCAGCATTTGAGGTTTGTTTTTACAGTCCACGAGAGCACGCACGTTACTTCCTTTCTGTCAGCTCAGCGACCTGGCAGCGGCACCACCACACTTGCCGTGAGCACACCGGTGCCCAGATCGTGGCGTCTAACACCATCTCCCGTGACCGGAGGAGTGGCTGAGTTTAGGGCTGGGGCAGGCAATAAGCAAGATGAAACTGGTGCATCTTGTATAATTTTTAAGAAAATATTTTCACTGATTTTTAGAGAGAGAGGAAGGGAGAGGGAGAGAAACATCGCTGTGAGAGCAGAACATCCATCAGCCGCCTCCTGCACGCCCCCGGCAGGGCAGGGATCTAGCCCACCACCGGGGCATGTATCCTGACGGATAATCGAGCCCACAACCTTTCGGTGCACAGAACAGCACCCAACCAACTGAGTCACACCAGCCGGGGCTCGTATAATTCTTCTTAAAGGCCCGATTCCGGGTTGATGCCAGAGGTTTGGGGGTGGAGGTGGGGGTGTTGCAGAAACTGCAGGGGGACCTGGCTCCACAGGGGCCTTTCTTTTTAACGAGGTGGGTGCCTTGCTAGGAGATCACAAGCGATAAACGAGCTGGCGGCGGTGAGCATGGTGGAAACGTGGTCCCCATGCCTTCCCTGACTGAGTGTCCGCTCCCAAGGGGGACACAGTGGCACCAGGTACAGCTCCTCGGCTTGCTCCTCCCGTGCTCAAGGCCTGGGAGGGACCGCTGTGGCTGGGGTCAGCACGGGCCTTGCAGGAAGGGGTGTCAGGAGCGAGCAGGACGCAGGACCGCAGCAGCGCTGAGCAGGCGGTGAGGGGGGGGCACTCGGCAGGCAGCAGCTGCCGATGGGGAGCGGACGCCGAGGGTCAGAGCGGAGCCCCCATCCGAGTCCCGCCGGCCCTGCCTGCGGAGCACCCGGGCATCACGCTGAGGACCTGGCTCCCAAGTCAGGTGTGATGAGAGGGTGCCCTGACCCCACCCCGCCCCAGGTAGGGATGCCAGATACAGACTCCAGGTACATTTGGATTTAAGATAAACAACAAAGAAATTTTTGGTATAAGTATGTCCCCAAAATATTGCATGGGACTTACTTATATACCTGAGGGTCCCTAGGCCTGGCCGGCAATCAGGGCCGATCGGGGCCTTCCTTCTCCCAGCTGCCGTCTGCTGGCTGCCGGCCGGGGCCTGCCTTCATTCTGTGCCGCCCCCTGGTGGTCAGTGCACGTCATAGTGAGTGGTCGAACTTCGGTGGGTCGAACTCTCACAGGGACAATTTGCATATTAGGCTTTTATTATATAGGATATTTTTTAAAGCCTGTTCATCTGAAGTCCAAGTGCAAAGGAACATGCTATTCTTCCTTTGCTGAATCTGGCAACCCTACACGGGGGGAAGTCCCGCGGCAGCGTCTACCACCCAGGAGACGTCAGGGTGCTGTGTATTTTTGTGTCATTACAGTACCTGTAAACATTTAGATGCTTTATGCAATAGTTTACTTCTCCTTGTCTGCATCCATCCACTCAGTCCTAGTTTTGCTGACTCATGGCATGACCAAGTGGCCCTTAACGTCTTGAAGGTTTCCTCCAGCAAACATCAGTGTCACCGCGATTGGCTTGTACTCCGTGGATTCCACAGGCAGCAGTATCCACGGCATGGGGATGCTCCGAAAGCGTGACGCGGCACTTAGATCCTCGGACCAAACCCCTGACCCTTCCATGCTCCCTTTCAACCGAGAGCCCCTCTGGAAGGAGCCCGTGAACGGCGGGAATCGTGCTGCTGCTGCTGACACAGAGGTGGCCCCCGGCAGCCTTGCAGGAAGGATTTTCACAATCGCAGCTACTTTTACAAAGAAAAACAACCCCGTTTTCTATTATGAAAAATAACCTAAAAATAGTTCCCCGCAGCACGAGGACAAAACCATCTGCGGGGCCCCCCTCCGAAGAGCTCATGTTTCTGTAGATTTTCTCGATCTCCAACTGTGCCCACAAGTTCTGAAATCTTAGGAAGTCAGGTCGCCGTGGCAGGTAAGACGCATCAAACTATTTAATCCCATTATTCATGCTGCAACTACTTTATACTCTTCCTTCACATCACAGAAGACGCAAATCACACACGTCAAAGTAAACTGTGAAACTGCATTCAACCGCATCCTAAGCTCCACTAAAAAGCTGCATTAAACTGTTTCTGCCGTTCATTGATCGATAAAAGCAAAACTTCAATGATCTAGACGTGACTATAGAGAAAGACCGGCGCTCGGGAGAGAAAAACGCGGACGGCGTGTCTGGAAGTGGGCTCCCTGGTGTGCGTGTGAGAGAACAACCCTCAGCCGGTGCAGGCAATGCCGCGCCCTCGGCACCGCCCAACCTTGGTTTGCACGTCCTCTTCATAAGCACGGAGATCCCACTCGCTGGGGACAGCGTGAGCGTTAACGTAAAGAGAGAACTTGAACAAGGTCTGGATGTGTCCGCGGGAAAGAGGAGAGGAAGGCAGCGTGAGCACTGACCTTGCCGTGGGCGCTGCGCCTGGGGTTCCAGAAGTCTCCGTCCAGGAGCGAGGCGCTGACCACCTCATAGGCTCCTGCCCCGTCCTCCGTCCTGGGCGGCGCGGCAGGTGCGACGGTGCGTCCCACGGTCAGCCCTGCAGCAAAGAGAAAGCGCCTGTCTTCAGCCGGTCAGGGGTCAGGGGTCAGGGGGAGTGTGTCTGGGAGGTGAATGGGGGTAAGGAAACCACCATCGACTAATCTCGCAGTGAGTGTTCAGCTGGTGAAGTCCCTGCCACTCCAACCACAAAACTCTGTAACTGAAAACAAAACTCCACTTTTTCCTTCAAGACTCGGGCACGTGCAGGCTGAGTATCGGAGAGAAAGTATGTCATTCCGACCCGCCCCGCCCCCCCGCAGGGGCACCCACTGCACGGGACCTGTGAGCGATGGATTCGCACTCTGCCCGAGATCGATCGGCTCTCTGCCCAGTCTCCAGGCTTCGGCTGTGTGAGGACTGAATCCATCTCCCGAGCCGGGAACCGGCTCAGCACCTTGCCAAGCCCTCGCTGGCCTGGCACAGGCTCATTGTATGTGCTTCGGGGCGGGAATCTATAGACAGAACTAATTTGCCAGCTCAGACCGACTAGCCGGGGCTGTGAAAAAAATTAAGTCATTCAGCAAACGGCTACGTGATCTTGTTCCCCTGGTCCTGTCTGTCCAACCAGCTGCTGCACCGACACCGGCTGGTGCCGCCCGACTTCCACAGACGGTCCTGCGGGGAACGGCTACACTTCTCCCCGGGAGAGTGTCCCGTCCACCCCCCAGTGCCCCCCCCCCCCCCAGCCCCGCTTCCCAGGGATTTCCCAGTCCGCGCCCAGCAAGGCCCTGCGCCTGCGAGTCCTGGGACAGGACAGCCCCCGGGAGGACGGAGCGGAGCGCACGGTATTCCCATCGCCGCCGCGGCCGGACGCAGACTTCTCAGACCTGAGTCATCAGGCGCAGTTTTAAGTTACGGAGGAGTCCCGTTTATTGGGCACAAATGGTATTGAAATTTTAATCCTAGACATTTTACGGCCCCCCGAGCACTCCTAAATCCACACCGTTTTATCATCCTCGACGTGGAAGTCTGCGGTTACATTTCAGTTACAAAAGGCTCGCTCCTCGCTGGGGCTGGGGGATTCGCCGTCTGACACGGGCCTCTTCTGGAAACTTCTCAAGCTGGTCGCAAAGCGTTTGAAACTCCAGGTGTTGAGAACCAAAGGGGATTGGGATGAACCCAACGCTGGGAACGTGGCCAGCAGCAGAGGGGTGCGCGGGGGGGGGGGGGGGGGGGGGGGGGAGGAGGGAGGGGTGCGCGGGGCCCCTCAGCCACGTGGGGAGGAGGGGGAAGAGAGGGCCATGAGCACAGGCGAGTGGGGGGGGCGGTATGGGGATGGGGCTGGAGGAGCTGGGTCTCCGGGGCTGAACCTGCACGCACCCCGACAGGATGCGGGGCGCTGTGCCGGGGGAGGGGCTCCAGGTGGGGGCATCGGCGGCCCCGGTGGAGGGCAGGCTGGGGAAGGAGGGAAGGGCCAGCTGCGTGGAGGACCACATGTCCGCCTCCGGGCTGCGGGGGAGCTGCCCCGCGTGGACTCTTGGATCAAGGGGCTTTGCCCAGCGGCTGGACTTGTTGCCCTCCGCGAGCCTAGGTAGGGCAGCGTCCTCGCTACAAGCAGGGGCTCTGGGGGAAGACACCCCCATCAGGACCAGCGCCCCCAGGAGCCGAACCGCGGTGCGTCCTGGTCCCGGAGGTAGGCTGCCTCCCTGTCCGTGCATTCATTCACCCTCTCACTCACCCTTCAACACCCATTCTTCCCTGTGGCCTGTGAGGGGCGCCCTCGACCCCATGTCTTCCACGCAGAAAGCCCATCTTTCTCTTCCAGGCACGCTGCCTCGTGCCCCCGGGACCCACGCCCTCTGCCTACGGCGCCGGGGCCCTCCTCCTGAAGACTCTGCCCTGTCCGTCCCTGTGCCCTCCTCACCCACGTCCTGCACCCGGGAAGCTGGGCCGCCTTCGAGGGCCCCTGCCTGACCCCCAGGCCGAAGCCGCAGGAACCATGATGAAGAACACGCTCGGCCTCCAGCCCCCTCTCCCCCCGTCCTGACCCTTTCACCTACATGTTCCAGCATTTCCACCCAAAACGAGGCCTTCGTGCTGGAGTTTTCTCTTCCAAGAGGCGTTATTTCTAAATCCCCCAGGAGAACAGGCCGCCAGCGCTGCAGGAGGTTGCGCAACCTTTTTAAGAAACGAGTGGCTGCCGTGGCTGAGCGGGATTTACTGCCCACGCCCAGGAGGAGGGGGCCATCGCTCGGCTTCTCAGCTGGCTGCACCCCCTGCTCCCCACGCTCCCCCCCCCCCACACACACACAGAGTCTGCGATCAGAAGGCTCTTCCCAGGAGCGCTTCCTATGTGTTTACACCCGGGCATTTCTCTCAGATGGTGCAAATGAAGAGAGTATTTGTGGGGCATGGACAGGCAGAACGCGATCTGCATGGCGGTGAGACAGCAGAAGGTATCTGATGGGCTGGTCTTGTTGACAAACCATAAAAGCAGGTCCTCAATGATGTGAGCACTCAAGCCGCAGACACACAGGGAGAAATATGACCTTATAAAACAGATAGTTTGCATACATTTTTGTTTCTCACAATATTTGGGCATCGACGAAGCTCAGTTGCCGAAATAAAACGTGGAAATCGCCAAGCCTGGGGAGGGGCCTCTGGCCTTCCTGGCCCCGGGGCCCCCTGACCCTGTTGGCTGTTTTGCTGGAATGAAATGGCCAGTTGCCTTCGGTCTCACAGAGGAAAGGAGCATGTCAGATGCTTCAGTTTCCAACAAAGATCCTCTCTAACAACCGCCTGCTTCCCCCGGAGCCTGTGCCTGCATGCGGCTCCTCATCTGAGCTCGCGGTCTCCGCACCGATTACAGCTGGTCAAACGGGAGTGCCAGGCCCGTTCCTGGGGCAGGAACCTTTGCAGCAGCGACTTTTCTGGTCTTGAAAAAGCCAGCAATGAAGATACTGCCCCAGAGGGACTCCAGACCCCCGGGGTGAGTCGCCAGGCGTGGCTGCCATCTGTCCGGTCCTGGTCCTGCTCTGGCCAAGCCCCCTTTGCCCTTCTTACTGAGGGAGGCCCGGGCCCACCCAATGCCCACCTAGGGGCTCTGAGATGGTGAACAAGGGATTTCTTGCAGCCACAAGACCTGGCTCTGGTCCTGACTTTGGAAAGAAAAGAAACCACGTCCCATAGAACAATTGCAATTTTGAAAAGATGTCTTATGTGTCATTTCAAAATTCAAAGAAAGCCAGCATCGCATACATGTCTCCAGTGGATTCACACCCCACGCACAAGTGTCCTCGACCACACACACAACTCTGCCTGCCCACAGCGCCTCCGTCCGGGGCAGCAGAATCACTTACGTCCGTTGACGATGTTGACGTGTACGATCATACCCCTGCCCGTCAGTGAAGCCATCGCGAGTCCCATTTTACAGATGGCGAGACGGAGCTATAGTCATGAGGACCGTCCCCAATGCTGCTCATGGATAAATGGCAGAAATGAGAGCGAAACCCAAGCCCTTTCCATCTCAAACGCATCAGTTCGCCTTGCCTTCGTCGCGGGGACAAGACGTGCCGCGGGACTTCGTGGGCAGGGGTTTTGGAGGCGGGTCAGGATTTTTCAATGTTTACTTTGTAAGAAATGACAGAAGGGGAGGGACCTCATGGTTAAGATTTGCACGGCAGGAGTGGCTTTTATTAATTTATTTATTTAAAAATATTTTTTATTGGCTTCAGAGAGGGAAAGAGAGGGAGAGAAACATCAATGAGAGAGAATCATTGGCAGGCTGCCTCCGGCACGCCCCACACTGGGGATGGAGCCCTCAGCCCGGAATTGAATCCATGACCTCTTGGTTCATAGGTCAATGCTCAACCACTGAGCCACGTCGGCCAGGCCCAGGAGCGACTTTTAGAAGTTAACAGCGAAAGGGCAAGGATGGGAACTAGTTTATTCCATTCCCTACTGTACACTGACTGACCGAGTCAGACAACAATGAAAGAGCCGTCATCTGCGTCTCAGGCAAGACCCGGTCCCATGCCAGGCTCCCCAACGTGCTCACTGCGCCACTGGCCACCACTGGTCATCACTGGCCACCGCTGACCACCTTCTGCTGAAATGGACATGCAGCTGGGAGGCCCCCGGCTTTAGGATCTGGCTTTACTCCACTCCTCTGACCGGTCTTGCCATGCTCCGCCCACACTCCGCTCCCTGGCCTCCTTCCCTCCTCGGGGGACCTGAACACCCCCAAGTCTTCACTCTTGGCCACCTTCCCTCTCCACTCTCACTGCCCCCCAGAGAGCTCATTAATGTTTAAGCAGATGTTGCCCAAATCAATATTTATCCATGTGGCCAGGTCCCTCCAGCACAGTCTGTGCTACAATATCCACTGGATACTTCATTTCAGTGTCCTGGTACTGCCATCACCTCCGATTCACCACGTTTAACAATCAAAGGTTCCTGGCCCTGGCCAGGAAACAAAACATTTCCCTTCCCACGCGTCCGCCAATGCCACTACCGTTCCCCCGCTCCCCGCTCCCCGAGGCACGTGGCCGGGCACGTCTTAGACTGCAGTCCTTTGTGACCCCCGGAGTCAACGCCTCCAGTCGGGGTTCTGTGCTTGGTTTTAGCTCTCAGCAGCTCCCACTTCTTAACTAAACCCTTCTAGAGCCCTCCTCACCCGCAGGTCCGCCCTCTCCCCACCTGAAGGGAGAGACGTCTGATGTCTGATGGGAGCTCAACGGGGGCAGGGCTTCCCAGCCAGAGAACAAGAAGGGAAAGGGCCTGGGGCAGGAGAGAGCCGGAGGGTTCTAAGGACAGAAAGGCAGTCCGTGTGGCTAACATACTGGGAAAGGGAGCCAAGGGCTGGAGGGAGGGTGGGCGGAAGTGCAGGAGGCGGCAAGGCCTGGACCGTGGCGGGTCCCCTGAGGCACAGGGTGGGTTTTCTCTGAGCGCAGCATGAGCCTGACTCGTGTCGGAACCTTCCCGCCTGAGAACGGAGCACGGGAAGGCTGGAGGAGAGTGGGCGCGAGAGAACTATTTGCGGGGTGAAGGGCGACGCTGAGCAGAGGTTACAGTCAGTGAGCACTTACAGGCTACAGCGGGGACACTGTGAATAGCGGCTAGCCATCGAGCCCCACGCTCCCCTGTAAGTTTAACTTGTTTAAACCTCAAACAACCCTGTGATGTTTATCCCCACTGAACCAGGGAGGAAACTGAGGCGCAGAGCAGCGAAGCCACTGCCCACAGGTAGGAGGCCACCCACACAGCCAAGGACCAGGGTCTCCGCTGCAGCCGCACACGAAATACCCAGTCCCTCTGGCCAAGAGACACCGGGCATGAAACTCAGACCCCGTCCTGAGTCCCCCACGTTCCAGAACCTCATCGCAGGATCGTTCCATCTCACTCCTCCTGCTGTGACCACACCGACCCCCCTGCTGACCACTCACTGCCCAGCTGGGCCTTGTCTCACACGCTTTGCATGAGAAGATTCTGCTCTCAATCCTTCGCGCACCCGCCCCCCAACCCCCCCATTTCCCTCTCCACGTCTCAGCTCGAGGATCAGCCCAAGAGGCTGCCTCGCCCAGCACCCTTCCTCCCACCCAAGGCTCTCTCCTGCTCATCCTCCCGTTTTGCTCCTTTCCTGGCATTTCTCAGGAGCTCAGCTTTGTTCATTGACTCATCCTTTTGTCAGCCGCCACCACCCACCCCCAGTCTGCGGGGCACTGCCGGTCAAATTCGTGGCTGGGCCCCCTGTGCACATGGGTATTGAATGAGTCATTCCCACACAGATGAATGGGTCCACAGCCTTGTGATCATGATGGGGGGGGGGGGGGCGGGCAGGGCGTAGTCCCGTCTCGGAGGGTCTGACAGGTGAGCGATTTCTAGCTCCCCCAGCAATGGATGGTCCCTGGCAGGTCACAGCCCAGGCCCGAGCCCACTGAGTCCCACTGATGAGCCAGAGCTCCAAATCACGCCTCTTTAGTGAGAAAGGAGCGAGTCAGCCAGGATGCTCGTCTGAGCATTTTGCTCGTTATCTTCCCAGCAGGAAATCGCTTCTGAAAAGCCGAATTAGGACCAGAACAGCGAACTGAGGAGCCCTAATTGGAACTGTCATCACGGGAGCCTGATATTTCCTTCTCGCCTCACGAGCGCGCACCTGCGGCGGGAGCCCGGGGAGAGCCGAGTCCCAGCGGCACCTCCGCGCCCCAGAGCGTGTGGGCGCCACTGCCGCCGTGAACTTGAGTGCACTCTCCGTGGCCTCGGGAAGCCCCAAGGCTGGCTCTCAAACGCTGATGAATTCATAACAGCCATGGCTCTCCTGCCACCATGCAGAACCCCTCATCTTATGAGGAAAATGCACTCTGAGCTTTAAATTGGTGAGAGTGTGTAGACCTGGCAGCCCAGGTGTGTTGGTGAGAAAATGTCTTCAGAATTCCAAAACGCAACATGGGCATGCCCTCTGCCTCCTGCCCCTGCGGCAGGGGCGCCCTCCCCCTCGCCACCTGCAGGGCTGCCCTGTAGGAGCCCTAAGGCTGGGGCAGGACGGGGGTGAACACAGGGCGAGACCGGGAGCCCTGACTTCACAGTGGGGCTGGAGGTGACGTGAGCCTGGGGCAGTGAGTCCGGGGTGCCTCCCCAAGGCCGAAGGACCAGGGTGAAGGGGCCTCTGGAGGGAGGTGCCGATGGGATTCCTGGAACTTTCCATGTTCTAGTTGTTAACTTTGCTGTGGACTTGGGAAGACCCAAAGGGGAAGCCTGCTTTTGACACTCAAATAAGATCATAAAAAACTATCAAAGCATCCAGTTAGAGCCCTGGGTTCTGAGGAGTCTTCATTCTAGGCCAGTGGTCGGCAAACTGTGGCTCACGAGCCACATGCGGCTCTTTGAGTGTGGCAAAATACCACGTGCGGGCGCGCACGTACAGTGAGATTGAAACTTGGTGGCCCATGTGCAGAAGTCGGTATTTTGTGGAAGAGCCACACTCAAGGGGCCAAAGAGCCGCATGTGGCTCGCGAGCCGCAGTTTGCCGACCACTGTTCTAGGCGATTTGACCAATAGCTACGAGGCCTGCAGGATGACCTGGAAGCCGTGCAAATAATGTCAATGAGAAATACTTTTGTGCTTCGTTTTTGGAACTGAACAAGGTGCCTCCCTGCCTTTAAGTCCTTGCTTCACTTTACCTGGATCAACGGGCAAAGAAACGTTCCGTTTAGGAGCCTTAATCCACTTCCTCAGTAACACCCACCTGTTCCCACACGCGATGGAGCAGGCCGATCCCGTACTGGCCAACAGGCATCTCCTGGGAGCCGCGCATTTGAGGACGGAGCGTCATTGCCCTGGTTTAAAATCCACTCTAAGGCCGCATGCATGTTCTAAATGGACTCCCCGTCTCTACAGTTAGCACTGAGGTGTCATCCAAGCGCCACCGCCAGCGCCACCACCGTGAGGGGTGCTTGGTGACCCTGGGGGCCTGCCGCCTCCTCTCCTCCTCAGCTCCTGGTCATACACCCTGGAGCTCAGCTGAACCAGCAAGAGGAGGTCCCACCCTCACCTCCCTGCGCTAAGGTCACAGGAGGGAGGCAGGGTGAGGACAGGGAGAAGGTAGGGTCCCCTCCTGGGGGGCTTTGCTGGATCTGAAATGTGACTGTGTCCCATTTATTCTGACTGTGTTCCATTCATTCTGACTGTGTCCCATTCATTTTGACTGTGTTCCATTCATTCCGCCATGACCAGGCCCTGGCAGACTGACACCTCAGTAGCCAATCATCATAAAGAAAACCTTCCAACAGGTAGGACTGGGCCATTCATGAGGGGATGAGGGGCAGGGGGGAGATACCCAGAGGGTATGGGGGAGGGAGAGGAGGGTTTCTTAGACCAAGTCTCCCTACGTGACATGACCACAAACAGCAAAGAGGGCCGCGTAGGAAATGGGTGTGTGAGGAGCAAAAAGGTGTCAGTCCAATCAGGAGTGCAACAGGTGTGAACTATCCGTCCCCTTTTATATGTTTTTTAGTCTTTATTTTATTTTATACTTTGTGTATTTATAATAAAGTGAAAACTGTTGTCAGAAACACTGTTATTAGAAACACTAAGAACATTCATTACAAGGGCATTTTATATAATTGTAAGCACCTTTCAGCTGTTTAGCCGACGTGTAGCAACATTCGTGCATTTAGCGTTTATTTAAACATTTTTACTTGTTTACATTAGACTTTGTTCTAGAGAACATTCATTTTTATTCTCCGGGACGGTTGGAACTGACACTTCCTCCACTTCTCACCCACGTGGACTTTCACAATCACAAAGCCTTCCTCACTGAGGACTTTCCCTGGACGGTTACTGTTTCTGAGAGCAAACCATAACCTGGGGGCTCTGTCGAGGGGCCAGATGCTAACAAAACCTGACTCCCGGTTCCA